TTGAAGCAGCTGCACTCATTGTCACAACAATAGTGAACCGAAAGCGCCGGCTGCGTGCGATGGCTAGGTTTTTCTCCAGTCGTCAAAGCTACATCATCGTAAGCCGTTGCAGGAGTTTGTTGAAGACATGCGAAGCTGCATGGCGAGCGTCAGCCCATAACGAGGCTTGCAGCTTGGCGGCTTCGATGCCACAGACGTTAGCGACTTCGATGGGAAGTTCGAGGCATCGGGTCTTGGTCTTGCTGTGACAATTCGTCCAGTTGCTGCAAGTTGAAGGCGGGTGGAGGCCAAGAACGTCGCACCTCAATGAAAACTTTTCGCTATCAAGATGACAACATGTCGGGCCAAGCGACCGAATAAATCCGTCAGCAAAAGCAGCAGACTGGCTCCTTAGGAATGGACGACTGCAGGCTCCTACAACATGAGCCTCAACACTACGAACCCTTGCTCAAACTCGAATCGAAGTCTGGACTGGACCACTGCGCAAGTAAGAACTATGAGTTCTCAGGGATTGTGTCCTTTTCGCGCATTTAGGCCAAAGCCGATTTCAGATCTAGATATGCGTGGCAGCAACCGAGACCTCAGAGCAACAGCGCCACATGAAGGCTCCGCTTGGCCACGCTTTTCGAAGCTTTAAAAGCCCTTCACAAACCCCGCGTCGGCCAGACCGGATGTTATGAAGAAGCGTGTCATGATGTGTCCAAGGCGTCCAGGAGTCAGGTGATTCTGGGCTTCGGGGAGTATAGGGCTGTATAGGGTCTGCCTGTTTCTTTCTCGTAGTTTGCGTCTGTCCTTCATCTGCGTTCTGCTGGGAGGATATGGGAGGAAGTAGGTGTACAAGTATCTGATACGGCGTTAAGCTTGAGTCTACCGGTAACTTAGACTTGAGTTGCCTCACAAGTATCTGCCACAGAGCCTCGAAGAAACGACGCTGTCACATCTGACACAACTCCAAGCCAGACACAACTCAGAGACTGATTGAAGTTGAATGATCTTTGAATGCCTTGTTGGTTGTGATCGTTTGTTTTCGTAGAGACACTGACAAGCCGTGCCGCCACCCTTCCGCGGCGCTCGGAGGCGAAGGGCGTGAAGCCCAACGCCGGAGGCCTCCTCGGCCAATCACCGGTGCCCAAGGTCGGCCGCGCCACGGACATGTGGCGGTCGAGTTGCGCTTCGTGCCTGCTGGGCGTGAGGATACAGTTGTATAGTTATATGGAGATGGTGAAGAACTGTAATTAGGTCAGCTTTTTTTCATTGAACTTCTGAAAATGCTGAACTGAAAAATTCTATTCATCGCTTAGGCCTCTGGTCACGTTCTTCGTCCACTCTTAGAGTGCACAGGTTGCAAATGATCGCGTTGGATGCCCGCTTTCACAGGTGAAGCCTCCGCCACCTCGAAGGCGGCCCAAGGCCCGAGATTGCGGCGAGAAGGCTCTAAACACCGGGGAACTTTGCTGTGCAGGCTCCCAAAAAGCCCAAGCTTGAGACCTTCGAGCTGCTTGACAGAACTTAAGACCGTGCTCCGCGAAACGTGAAGACTTGACCTCGGAAGCCCTTGTTACGGTGCCCCAGCAGCTGGTGCCATCCTTTGGATAAGGCTGATAAACTCTGCATGCGGTGCGAGAAAGCTTCGCCGTGTCGTTTCGGGTTATTCGGGCTTCGCTTGTCTCTGCGGCGGAGGCCTTAAGACGCGAGCGTATACGAGCGTCGGTTGAAGTCCCCCCAAGGGAGCACTGCGAATGCGAAATCTCAGAGCTCAGAGAGCTCAGAGCAGAGACTCTGCTCAGCTGGAGGCCAGAGATGCCCAAGTACTCGGACAAGTGCGTGACTTCGACTAAATGGAGAATGGGCTACTGTAAGGATCCCTTTAAAGGTCTGAAAAGATGGTTTGTTCGGATGTTCCAGGGCAAGCTTGTGTGTAAGTGCTTCGTGGCTAGAACCTGCATTGGCTGCATGTGCACGAAGTGATGGCGGGCAGTAGGCTGACCAGGTACTCGTAGATCCCGTGAATCCAAGTCGGGTGCTGCTGCAAGGTTGAATAACGGTTGCATCTGACTGCACTGCTGGAGGCAGTTGCATGCGTTGCGGCCCAGGTCGGGTATGGCGATCTGTGGAAGAAGGTGCAGGACTCCGAAGCGGTTTCACTGGCGAAGCGGCGGGACTCTTCTCCAGTTGTGCTTGAGCTTGACCTTGGAAACTGACGGCTCTGATAGCACCTTGCATGCACAAGGCACAGAATGGTCTGATGACAGGAGACAACCGTGAATGAGGCTGGAGAGGAGGAGTCGAATGCAGAGGAGCTGCTGCGATGCATTGTGTAAAGCATTAGCGTGTCCATTCCGCTGAAGTGTTCCAGATTTGCAGATGTGGTCTGTTAGGACTGTTATGACTTACGCTTCAGTACTTGCCATGTGACCGCATTGGAGCCATTGACACGTTCAGTACATGTCTCTGCCTCAAACGGAATCCTGAACTCTGCTCCAGAGCACCTGGCCGGCTGGATTCAGGGAAACGGGACTATGTCCAGCATGTCAGCCTCTTGGCAAATCCAACCCATCGCAGCTACCTAGGCTTGCGACTGAGGAAGAATCACAGGCCGGATACAAGGCACGGAGGGTTCGGAACAGCAGTTCCTTGCAAAACAGCTTCGGGATTGAGGATCGACGGATAGTCAGGCCAAGTACTGACAGCAACGCAGTCCGAAGTGCAAGCAACAGTTGAGAAAGGCCCCGAGAGCAGTTCAGAAGCATTCAGAAGCTTTCCAAAACCCTCGCTCTTGACTCCGGAGAGGCTATGCATCCCTGCGACCTTGCGGGTAGTTTCGGCGGCATCCGGAGCCGCTTCCTCAGAGGTTTGGGCCAAACCAGGTTGCGGGCCCGGAGCCGCCTCTGCCCTGCAGGCCTTGCTCGGACCAAACGTTTTCCGGGGTATCATGAGATAATGGAACCGACCCTTCTGTCTCTAGCTTCTCGTGGTGCACAAGAGCTTCACGGAGCTTTCACACGTGCTTGCCTGCCATCTCTTTTCCTTCAGGGAGTGCAGCCACTGGGTTGTCGCACCATTGTGCGCTAAGGCAAGTGGGCTGGAGGGGATGGCAAGGCAATCCAGAAGCCAATGCCCTATGACTCTTGGCCGCTTTGGTAGTTGTTTCGTCACTGCATTGGCGAGTTCGGCAATCCAAAGCACTCGTGCCCAGAACGAGCTGATGGGTGGAGCCCTCAGTTGCTTTTCGAAGCCGTCTTGGGAAGGGAGGCTGAGGCAAGGTCATGTTTTCGAGCAGAGAACATGAGTTGAAAGCCATTGATGGTCTGGTTGAAGGCGCCACAGCTGCTGTCGGACTGTAGCTCGGGAGGATCCCGAAGGACGAAGGAAGGACTCAACGTATGTGTATCATTGCGCAGCTGCGGACGACGCTGGAGACACTTAGAGGAGTAGTTTGGGGGCCTGGGGCCCCAAGCACATGCCCTACGAGCCTTCAGGTAGAGATATGTTTGCAGCTTCCAGCGGCCAGCCTTCGTTCTCTTGCACTGTACGTCTTCGTCTGAGGTTGCCTCGACCGATCAGGCACCGTGGCCTTCAAGGGCCAGGAGGCGAGGAGATGAGAAGAAGAGGAGCAAGAACAATTGAACAAGACTGGACATACGCGTGTTCGATTACGTTCTACAGACTTCCAGTCGAAGCTTCGAATCGAGGACGCTGCCTGTCAGCTTCTCCCTGGTAGGTCTTCCGGCATCTGAACTTTCTCATCGAGGGCATGAACCTTCCTACAACCATCGCAACCACGTGCTCTTGGCTGCGAGTCTCCCACTGTTTCTAGCAGTGTCTTGAGTCTTGAGCCTGCAATGGACATTATCCCACCTAGCCTTGCAGCACTCTGCCGCAGGCGCTTGGGACTCGAGCTCTGAACCCGGGGTGTGTGAAGACACCGAAATGCACAGGAATCTTTTCTTCTTGCTTCGTCTAAACAAGGAGACGGCACAGCCCATTCACTTCCACCGGCTGCAAACTGGAAATTACAGAACGTGTGTTACTCGCGGTTTGTTGTGATGCCAGGTGGTGTTCACAGAAGCGCCCAAGAGCCCGGAGCTAGGGGTCCCTCATAGATTCCTCAAAATCCGTGACGCCCGCGGTCTCCTAGAGCGAGGGGTCCAAATCCAGGCTTGGGGCTCCAAAAACGAGGCTTCTGGGAGGGTTCGCAGAAGCGCCCAAGAACCCAGAGCCAGGGGTCCCTCATAGATTCCTCAAAATCCGTGACGTGCTAGCGGTTCTGTAGTTTTTGTATGTTTTTGTGGTAGTCCCACATCTCGCGCCAGCCATTTGCATGCAGCTAGAGAGTAGGAAAGCTAGCGCCCAAGCTGGTTCTCACCATCCGAGCATCCCGCATCCCCACAGTACACGGTTTGTGATGTGCTGAGGGCGTGCACTTTTGCACCGGAGATCATCACATCTCCCATGGGCTTCGGAGCAAGCCGGGTGGCCAAGGGCAGCAGATGGTACACGTTGCGAGCGAGTGAAGACAAACGGTTGAGAATGCAGGAGCAGACTGAGACGAAAAAGGTCAGCAACACATCCGCGTGATCAGGGCCGGAACACAGCTCTTACACTCGTTGAGTGGCTCAGGCGCAGACTTGGCCGAAATTTGCAAGGGCGTCGTCAACTCTGTTTATGCGGGCGTCAAGCTTCTCAAGGACCGCTGACCGCAGCCGCCGAAGCCGCCGAAGCCCAAGCTCTGAGCGAAACCAATGTCCCGGAAAAGTCGCAAGGCCCAGAGCTTAAGCCCGACAAGGCTCGTTACACATTCGCGGTCTCTCTTCTCTTCTGTAGATGTTACCCTGCCTCCATCCCTACTTTGATGTCCTTAGCATCGGCTTTACGCGACGCGCACTTGGGCTCAAGTCCCGATACGGTAAAAGTCCGCCAGGGTTGACTTAGCGGTATCTAGTCGTGTCTTGCTGTTGACCTGGGAAACTTCAGGTTATCAGCCGTAGGTTGCTCCTACAATGGATATCGTACCTTTCGTTGCCGCAACGGGCGATAGTGACGGTCAGAGAACAGAGGCGGCGGCTAACCAGTATTTCCTCCAACTTCTCCAAGAGAATAACCAGGTGAATATTTTCTTGAACGATCCCAGTATCCAACAGGCATTGGAGCTTAGAGCTGAGAGGCGACATCAATTCGTCCTCGACAACATCTATGCTGAGGCCAACAGCTACATTGCCCACTTGGAAGCCACCGCCGATGCAAACCACCGTCAACAGCTTGCTTTCGTGAGAGAGTCCACCATGGTTCTGGTAGGCCAACTCCACAATGAAACGAGAGTTTTAGAGCAAATCGCCCACACCGAGCACGAGAGTTTCAGGCACAGCTGACACGCACACAACAGGAGTGTCGTGACGAGAGGTCAATGGCAATGCGGTTTGACACACATCGCTCCGAGCTGGAAGCAGCAGCACACGCGCTCACGGCAGGACACAGACAGCATGAGTACCATCTCGCTGAGCTGCGCACATCCTTCGGTGAAAATCGTAATGAACTCATAGAATACTTGGGTTTCGAGTTTGAAGAAAAGCTTCAGTGGGAGGAAAACGAATGTCAGTTTCGACTTACCTCTGAGGAGCAGCAGTATGACAGCTTGGTTGACGATCTTCAGGATCGCAACGCGGAGCTCATAGCTGAGGTCAACTCTCTAAGGACTGTCTTGATTCCTCGCACCGAAGTTGTTCGCCGAGATTGCCGCGGTCAATGATGCCGCACGGCGTATCCTCACCTTCGACGGCGAAGTCCGCGTGAATTCCACCAATGCTGAAGGGATTGCCGCTGAGCTGGCCCAAATCATTTATGATAGCCGCCGCAGTGCCGAAGGCCAGACTCGCGAGACTGAACGCTTGGCCGAGCAAAACCGTCAAGCTGCAGCTCGCAATCGCCCCTCCCAGACGGGACGCGGTCGAGCGGCTGAGCCCGTGTATCGCGGGTATACTCAGGCCCAATGGGACGAGTACTACCGCCAGCAGCGTCGCGGCCAGTACACGCAAGCCGAGTGGGATGCATGGAACCGCACCCATGGGCGCTAAGTGCTGGCTTGCTTGATTTCTCATTTTGCTTTGGACATGCGGGGCTCCCCTAGCTGCGCTTTACAGATGCCCGCTTTGGCATTGCAACAGATCCTTCTGTAGCCCGGGGCAACCTGGAGCCAGTGCATTAATACGCCTTAGTTGGAGCGAAGGGGGTGTAGATTTTACCCTGCCTCAATCCCTACTTTGATGTCCTTAGCATCGGCTTTACGCGACGCGCACTTGGGCTCAAGTCTCCATACGGTAAAAGTCCGCCAGAGTTGACTTAGCGGTATCTAGTCGTGTCTTGCTGTTGACCTGGGAAACTTCATCTTCTGCAGATGCATTGCACGGGCTAATTTTGGACCGTGCTAAACTCCCTAAGACTCCCTAGTCGAACTTCACAAATGTCCGAGACGTCTCACAGGAAAGCTCGGCTTGAGTGAGAAGACCTCGAAGCATGTCAGTGTCAGCTTCGACAAAACTCGTGTAGTCTCAAGTCTCCAGCTGAGTTCTCGTCATTCTGTCTTGGCCCTGCAGTACACGGGAGCGGAGATCCTGCAGAGCCAAATCAGCTCAGCCGCTGGGCCAAGCCCAACTGCCGATCAGAAGTGAGCGCAGGGATGATGATGCCCTATGCTTCGGGGCATTTTTTTGCGTGGGGTCCAGATTCCGCAGAGGGGACAGGAGGGGCGAGAGCGGAGAGATGCGGAGAGCGGCGCTGTTCGGAGCCCAGCCGAGGCGGCCTCGAAAGACTGCTCCGCCACGCAGGCGAACTTTGCGAGGATGTTCTGCCGCTCGGCCGGCCTCCGTTTTTTTTCCTTGGTCTTTTCTTCTGTCCTTCCAAGCCTCGCGTTAAGGCGATGTGCACTGCGTCCGGGATGCGGTGATCCGAGGAGATCACCGCATGTGTTTCGATTGCATCTGAAGTTCGCATCCCACATGCAGGAAGCAGACTTGTCGGGCCAAGGGATGCAAATCTCAGGCCGTGAGGCTCCACGAAGAAAAGAGATACTCTTCATCTCTATATCTGTTCAGAAAACATGCTATCCGTTTTCAACTAGATTCGTTGTGGTGCCAGCCAAGCCCTTTCCGCGGCTTTCTTCATTGTGGCTGACAGTCGTAAGTCTTAGGTCCCCTTTGCTCTCAGCCAGGCCTCAGACATGCTCTGTCAACGTGGGATGTGGCGGTGTGAAGAGCGACTTGTTCAGTTGCCAGGAGACAGAACCATCCTCCGCAACCTCAAGAAAGCCACTGCGGGGGCCTGTGCCTCCTCCCCTCCGGTCAAGCACGGCTACGCAGCTCGACCGAGGACATCACAAATGGCAACACTGCAAAGCTGGCGGTCGCTCGACCAAACTTATGTTATGTTTTCCGGAGAACGCGGTTGTCCATGGGCTTCGGGGGATGGGATCGCAGTCGAACTTGAATGTAGAAATATTGCTTATGGTTCTCAAACACCTCAACACCAAAGCCAACACCCTTTTGAAGCCGCAGCCGCATCATCAGCAGAACCAAGACGGAAGACCGTTCATGCTGGACCAGATTGCAGGCACTTGAACCCCAAACCTACAGACCTTCCAAGCTTCTTTAGGCCATAAAGCCCGCACCTCCAGGAGTGGATTGTCAAAACTCAGCAGCTCGATGTTTCTTGGCTGGCGGAGACTTGCCTGGATTATCCTCAAAGTGCTGCTGCTGAAGAACTTCGGTATCATTTGGACCTGGTAGCATCTCCTGCTCCCGCCAGAGAGGGCTCTGCTTCTCGGAAGTCGGATTCGACCAAGTTCGTAGCTGCGAAGCTCCAAGACTAAACACGCTAGCACAAACTCCAAACAGCAAGCGAGCACGGGGGCGAGGCCCCACAACAGCAAGAGTCCAAAATGCGCACCACGCTGTGGCGCTGACACGATTTCGATTCTAAAAAGAACGCACGGATCGCTAGCTTTGACAAAGTCCTGAACTCAGCACTCCGGGAGTTGGGCACTTGGCACACTTGGCATGACAGGCCTCGCCGGAGCAAAAGCTGTTTTGTGGATGTTCCATCACCGAAACTAAGCTGGACCCTTGAGAGACGGGCCTAAGCACCAGCAGCTACTGTAGACAAAAGGCAGAGCCAATTAGCCAAAGCCCGTGAGGCTACCAAAACTGGAAAATATCCGTTGGGCGTGCGGCATTGCGGCACTGTCTCCTCTCGACCTCAAGGGGGAAGTGGTGCCACATTGAACGGGAGGAACGTGCACAGTCAGGTATCGGGATGCCTGCAGCGGGCTTCGAACGAACACAGCTTGGCTTGGGCAGAGAATGAGAGAGAGAAACAGTTGGACAGATAGAGCGAGCAGCCTTGAATGCAGCGAGGGCTTCAAGTAATTGCTGCCCATGGTTGAGAAGTCAAGCCAGTGGTCCTAGCTTAAATGCGGTAACTCCGAAGACAAAGAGAGACGGACACCCCGTGGAGGAGAAGATTGATCACCAAACCGTGGTGCAAAACCTCGCGCCTCGGCAGATCTTTGTCGGCCATTGCGACTCTACTCTCCAACCATATAGAATCAATGCGCCCGAAGCCGTAAGCCCTGATACCTCACGTGGGGATCGGCATGGAAATCCTCGGGGGTTCAAGTTGGCCGTCTGATTACACACAATCCGAAGTTAAAGTTCACAGACGAGGACTGTCGCGGGTAATAGTACTGTACCCGGCCCCGTGGAAGGTACAATGCAGGAGTCACCTCAGAGTAGCCGGGACTACATCTACCAATCATTTACAGGCTTACAATGCTTACCCAGGAACCGAGCTTCAACTGGGTTCGGCTGCAGATTCGGTTTTGCTGCGCTTCAAAGTCTCGGGCTTCTGGTTCTGACTATGTTTCGCTTGACAGGAGAACACTAAGCAGTTCACCAACATCAAAGAGCTCCTCGCAGGCCACATGGGAAGCTCGTCGCGCGAAGGGCTTGGCGGGAGTTATAGAACATGCAACGAGTACTGAGATCATATGCTCTCTTTCCGCAACCAGTCATTCGTGCATATTTGAAGCTCGTTCGTTGGGGCCTTCCACTGTCATAGCTGACAGCCGGATCTATTTTAGCTTCTCTGCAGCGATGCTTCGGGAAACTTCTCCTGATAGCTGAAGTTAACCAGGGATCAAGCACGTGCATGCTTTTCTTAGCTACCACGAGCATGATTTTTATTGCTTGAATCGGGCAACACCCGAACCATGCGAGAGGAGAGGGCTTATCGACAATAGTTTTCACGATCCTTGTACGTGTTATGTGTCAACTGTGCTCGGTTGTCCTTCAAGTTGCATGGCTATATAGTCTGGATTCGAGGTGGAGACAAGAAAGAGCTGTTCCTGGCGATCAAGCCACATTGCAGCATCCGGTCCACTGAGTCTGCTTCCTTGCACAGCGGGAGCAACACCCTTTGCTGCAGCTGTGTAGCTACCTCTTGGCTCAACCAGCCGAGGCAACAGACACACAAGCTGCAGTCGGAGTCCCTTGGCAAGGGACGGGTTTGGGCCAAGAGATTTTCAGGATTCCTCAGCTTCTCAAACATGTTTAGGCCTCAAGCCGTGAGAGGGAGACAACGCATGGCAGCCATAGTACCCAAGCCACATGCTAAATTACTCCTCAAGTTAGCTTCATGCAAGATTTCAGCACAAAGGCCAACTGCCCAAGAGGCGACAACCTGCAACTCCAAAGCCGTTCCCCAACCCAGCTGACAGCTACAAAAGTTTCGGCTTCAAGGCCGTAAGGATGTTAGCTGATAGCTTTGCACATAGCTTGGAGTCTTGGAGCGTGTGGAGTTGCATTGAAAGATGGAAACAAGAGCGCCGCATTTGTGGTTCCAGTTTTCGTAGGTACTTTTCCAAAGCCCAAGAACGGGGACCAAGTCATATGCCTCAGGGCCCCATCGTCTTCCCCAGGCTCCACGGCTACGTCGAGGGAGCATCGTTTGGCAAGGCATCGCTACTGGCAGCCACCGATGCGCTGGAGAAGTTCAACAGCGACAGTTTTGGCCTGAGGTAAACCACTGTGATTCGAAGTTCGAAACATACGCAACCGAGCTGCTCATGCAGGTGGTGTGCCAAGTCAGTCTCTCCCTCTCCTGCTTTCTCTCTCTCTTATTGCTCTGTTAAATGACACGAGCCGAATGATGCACCTAATGGTCATGATGCATTTGTGAATGCTACGATGCCGAATGGCAATGGCTCAAGACCGGACAGATCGGCTTGACGTCACAAACGAATGTCTGCTTGAGTGTGATTTTGGGGAAAGTGATTGATCTTGGTTGCTCGGTACCCTAGGCTTGTACTGTTGAATTTTGCATCCTAGCGGAGCTTCGGCTCTGGAAACAGGGACCGAGAGTTCAATGTTCAGCAAAACCGCACGCAGAATGATCAGCTTCCACTGTTCTCTCGACTTTGGACAACTGGCATATTATATGTTGGCGCAAATCACTGATGGCGCTGCACGGGCGATTGTTCGCAATGAGGACAGGGAGAACGGCTTCGAGATCTGGCGTAGACTGCAGAATCAGTTTTCACTGCCAGAACGAGTCTACGAATCTCCTGAATGAGCTCTTTTTTTCCGCTTGCGCAATGAACACTTGGAGAGTCGTCTGAATGAGTTTATTATCCTGAAAAATCAGCATGAGAAGACGACTGGCAGGCCTTTGGCCAATGACCTCTTGGTAGCGTTGCTAATGCAGAAGACTGTTGGTTTGTCGCAGCAGCATTTGGGGTTGAATGTCAGGAATCAGGAATATCAACACGTTCACTGAGGCACAGGAGATCATCTGTAGCTACATCAAGAGTAGGCACATGACGGCGCCGAGTGGTAGGGCTGATCATGCCTACCAAGGTCAAGCCGACATGGATATAGGTGAAGTGAAAGAAAGGAAGGAAAAGGATACAGAGGAGGCAAGGAGTGTACCAGAGGAAAGGAAAGGGATACAAGGGCAAAGGAAAAGGCAAAGGAAAGACCAAAGGATACAAAGGAAGCGGAAAGGCCAAGGATGTTTTATGTGT